TAAGTCAACTAGTACCTTCACCCTAGCACAACTAGGTCTAGTTTTATTAATTGTTGCCATGTCTAGATGCATAGGTTTACCTACTGCTGAAGCTAGAGAAAATAGACATTCCTTAACAAAAAAGGTTGGCAATAGACCTGGGAATGAAATCCAAGCCATTGCCTTGGGTGTTTATTCATCTGCTCTAAACTTTGATTCATAAATCAACGGCCTAAGCTGATATTGATAGCCATCCCTGTCCTTTATGTAATGAGTTTTTGATGAGAAATGAAGATAGTCCTGGCTTAACATCATTCTAATTAAAATATGTTTATCCCTTAGAAAACCAATGCTACATTCACCTTTAATACCGCATTGAATTGGTATTAACTTACGCAGTTGTTGAATTTCTAGGCTTCCATAAGAACATTTGCCAACTATTGCATATTGTAATCCTTCGATGATATCCATCCTTTCNTCCCAGCTTTTGGTGCTGCAAAATTATCTTTTTGATGCTTCTTCTTACCTTTTGCTGCTGATTTTGCCTTTTCCACTTGTGTAGGTGATAAGTCACCTTTCCTTGCAGCATTCATAAGGTGTTGGGTAGTTGATTCTTGATCCATGTCGTATCNCTGCATTGCAGCATTTAAAGTGAAAGGTTTCAGAAATTTGGAGTAATCCATCGGCTGTTTGTTGTTATTTGTGTTCCCTGATGTTTGTGCAAAGTTTGAAGGAGGTTGTTTAGGCAGCGCAGCCTCCAAATGTGGCTGGCCACCTGCCTGTGTGTCTATTACAGTTGTAATTCTTTAGCACTTTACTTGCATGACACAGGTGCAACAGCTTTGCAAGAAAACGATGCTACTGTAATTTGAACTAACTTCACTTTACTTACTGTATGGCTGTGAATCTAATTTCACAGTCCGAAATGAAGCTTAGAAATCAAACCAATCTTAGAAGAGAAGAGAACACTTTCACGTTATCAAAATAAGCTATTGTGCTCAACAGTAGTGCTGGAATTAGCTGAAATGCTAAAATTGAAAGAAGAACACTGTCTGCTACAGTAACTCGTGAAAATGAAATTAAGATCTACAAAAATTGACTATAGATCTGAAGTTGAAACCAATTAGGTATTATTCGTAAGGAAATTATGTATCTTTTGACACCAAGATTGGTTAGTTCCACCACCGGATTCCGAAGTTATGACCGAAAAATGATGACGAAATTACTATTCCTTCTCTTCCTAGAGAGAAGGCAGAATGCAGAACCAACTAGCCGTTTTTTTCCTTCTCGATCTCGCTGTATTTCAGTGTATTCACTGTCTTTTTTTCATTGTATTCACTGTTTTTTTTCATTGTATTTCAATGTATCTCGCTGTATTCTATGTATTTTATTGTATTCATTATCTTTTTTTCATTGTATTTCAATGTATCTCGCTGTATTCTATGTATTTCATTGTATTCACTGTCTCTCTATATTCCATGAATGTATTCATATGTTTTTTTAATTAATATAATTTATGTATTCAGATGTATTATATAATTTCTCTGAAGGTTGCTATGTTTTTGGGGTATTTTTCGGTTGAGAATCTTTGTTATAACTGGAAATACAAAATTTGTGTGTTATAATTGAGTTTGTTGAGTTATATTAGGAGTCTATTATGTTAATTGATTCACTTTCCATTTAAAAACAGTGTAATCCCATGTTTCACGTCGTGAATACAGTCGAATACGGTCGAATACAATATCTATCCAATTGTAACCCCATGTTTCACGCCATGAATACACTCGAATACAAAAATCTGTCTAGCTATAATCCTTTGTTTCACACCTAGAAATGCTACTGTATTCATGAATACAATAGCTTAAATATATTGAATGCACTCTAAAAAATCTCAAAATATAGCTATAGGAAGTAATATAGTAAATGGTAGCTACAACTCGCTAATAACCACTAAAACACAGTGATTTCTGAAAGTTTAAACTATCTAATTTTGCTGCTATCCATCTCATAAAGTAATGGGTTGAGGCAACATGAGCAAAATATTCATTTTGGGATAAATTTCACTTTCGTCCACCCTCACCATATTTATAATACAAGAATGATTTAGCTTGTCAAGTAATAAAATAAATACATTATTGAACATTTAGCTATATTAAAGTACTACAATAAAGTTTCACAATCCGTAAGCAATTAAAACATAATGGTATATAAATTGAATATACCTAAAATGCCCACAACTGTCGATATGTCCGAGTGGTTAAGGAGACAGACTTGAAATCTGTTGACTCATAATAACAAGTTCTCTCTTGTCCAACCTGAGGAGTGATTGACATCAAAAGGAACTAAAACAACAACAAAAACTACGAGGCTCTAAGCAAGTTGGGGAAATTTTATACTTTTTCCTCTTACCTCCAAAGTTAGGAAAAAGAAAAGAACCTTGGAATGGAAGAAGAACTGGACAAGGTGGACGGAGGGCAGAGGCGGACCTATGCTATACCGAGAGAGGTCATCAGCATACATGTATATATTTTTAGATAATAGTGATATATCAGTAGTGGCCATCTAGATACAAAGCGGATTTTGGTTGAATCTAAAAGTGCACCCGACCTTTAAGTCCTGGGTCCGCCTCGGTGAGAGGGAGATGACAAAAGCTACTATGACAGAAAAAATTCAAAGGTTTCTTTTATAATAAATTGTTATGATTCTCGGACCTTTAACAACTAGAAGGAGCAATAACTTCTCGTGATTAAAAAAAAAAAACAAAGAAGAAGAAGAAGAAAAGAGTCCAAGCACGTTTAAAGTTTACTACAAGTAAATTGGGCAAGATTTGCAGTCAATTGTTATCATCAAACAAAGACTAGTGCCATACACGAGTTTTGCCTAATAAGAATATGTAAGCGTGCAGGATGATTATATTAGAAACTCATGAGCTGACATCCATTGTTACATTCATCTAGCTCAGATACTTAAAAACCTCATCCATTAACATTCAAAAAGGGTTAAACATTGCTAGATCAGAGGTACTAAAACTCTTGCAACTTCTTGTTGTATGGATTTAGAGGATAAACCTAGGAAGTAATTAACTACATGGGCACAAATACACCATGCATGCATATTCTAACTATAGGTTCATTAATTTACTAGTTGTGGAGTGAGGTAAGAGCAGATCGCATGCCAACAATTGCAGACACACAAAGAGGCGGATCTAAGATTTTTATAATATGGGTACACCACTAAATAAAAAAGAAAAAACAGTATTCAATGGGAATTAATCCTTGCTCCTCTAGGTAATTAACTCAACATTTAACCAAGTGCATCATTTAGGTTCTTTAGAGCATGTGTGCAGCAGACTATTAATATTAGATCAATTCTAGAAAATATGTACATAAAATATCTAGTTTGACGGAGAGACCATGAGTTCATGTGCCCATAAAATGAGCTATAAATCCACCCCTGCAGACACATCAGTTCCTAACTTAATAGCCTCTTGAAACTGCACCTCTTACATACTCATGAGCTTCCTTCACATTCATTTTCTTTGACATTTCATGCTCATGAAATGTTCACCATTCAGGACTGCAGCCAAATGCACTATCAAATCAAGAAATTAAAGCATATTACATTCAACTCAGCAGGTGTAGAACTAAAATGGATATTCCTTCTAATCTTTCCACAAGGACATGGAATCAAGAAATATACAATAGCAATCAGCAACGAGGGAAGAGAAATTTAAGCTTACCAGTTCCTTTTTTGATTTGGTCCATTATTCCCATCTGGATTTGGTCCATTAACATATATAAGGAGTTTGGACATGATCATAAAAACCACCATGTTCATCACAAAAAGTGTCTCATGTGATGACTTGCTCTAAGTGCTTCATAAACCTCCTTCACTAGCTTCTGCCCATTAGAAACATCATGAGATAGCCTGTTTGGTTGTGTTGGACGACCAGGAATTGAAGAGAATTAAAACATTTCATAACAACTGCAAACAAAAACATGGACATTCATAACAGTATCTAAGGGACAGACATTGTGAGTGCTTGTTCAACACAATGAAAGAATGGAACCAGTTTCTCCAGAGTGACCAGGATCTGGATCCACATACTAATTAGCATCATCATATTGAGACAGTGACTCCATTTAATTATATTTGGATTCACAGATTTCTTTATCCATCCAAGCAATCATTTTTGATAGGCTGCCGTTGCTGCCCGTGAGTGTGCAGGAAAAGAGTAAAAAAAAAATACTACTCGTACAGAAAAATGGAAAACAGAATGAAAGAGTGTGCAGGAAATGTTGGGGATTTTAAGAATAATGAGGCTTAAATCAGGGTGAATGGGAAATGGAAGAAAATGAAATTTTTAAGCGAAATTTTAAATTTCCCCCCTTAGCAAAGGGATATTGTCCCATATTGAAAAAGGAAGAGGTTTTTTATGGATATATAAGCAATTGCTTTTCTTCTAGCCCTTAAAGAGTTGAGAAGAAGGCAAGCCTCGCGCTGTCGTCGTCGCTCGCTCGGCTTCGGCTTCGGTCAAATGATTGATTGATTAATTTTTTGGACCAAATTTATTTGTTAATAGTAAAATATTAACAGAAATGTTATTAAATATTCGTTTTAATAACAGAATATTAATATTAAAATAAATATTAATATTAAATTCAATCCGTTTTTCAGTTGTGTAACTGAAAATTAAACTATCCTCTTCAATTTTCCCTCTTTATTATTGAGTAAATAGCCATGGAATTTATGTTATGGCCGTTTTGCATAAACAACCATTCTGAAGAGTTGCACCTCTTTAGATTTCAGCCCAACTTTGGCTATAAATACAAGTCTATTCTCTCAGAATTTTCATACAATTTTCTGAGTTTCTCCTCCTTCTTCTGCATTGTTTTAACTTCAAAGAAAGCAACAATAAGTGTGATTTGCCACCGAACTTTGTGTTCGCTGAAACACTAGGGTTTGAAGTACCACTACACCAGTGTATAATTCGTTCTATCATGGGAGGAAATAATCCATAACTTTGGGTATTAGGAGAAGATTAAATTCCTTAAGGAAACAATGTGAATTCAGTGAGCTCGGATTAATTTTTGTTTCGTTTATATTTCTGTTTATGTTATTTTTTATTTTCTAGAATTATTTTACAAATACAGTTTACTAACAAGCGTAAGGAATTTAGTTTGTATTCTGTATTTGTGTTATATTCACTGTTTTGGAGTTTAAAACCTTTGTGGTTTTCTACTCCGTTGGAGATTAAAATCTACGTAATTTTAACGTTTGTTGTGTCATGCTTTTACAAAAATGACTAATGATAACGGGAACCAGGCTGTTCCAATGGTGACTGTCAATGCATCAACAAGCCGAACACCGGCGTTGGCACCGGCGGAGAAACCCGAAAAAAATTTTGGGTTAGATTTCAAGCGGTGGCAGCAGAAGATGTTCTTCTACTTGACTACTTTAAGTTTGCAGAAGTTCATCAAGGAAGATGTTCTTGTTCTGCCTGATAAAAGGCCAAAGAATGAATGCTTTCTCGTGATTGAGGCGTGGAAGCATTCTGATTTTCTGTGCAAGAATTATGTTCTTAGCGAACTGGAGGACGATTTGTATAATATCTACAGTGGCATGTCAAAAGAAATGGACTGCGCTTGAAAAAAAATACAAAACTGAAGATGCCGGGTTGAAGAAATTCGTTGCCGCCAAGTTTTTGGACTACAAAATGGTAGATAGCAAGTTTGTTAATCTCAAGGTCTTGTCATCAATGAAGCATTCCAAGTAGCAGCGATGATTGAGAAGTTGTTTCCTTTGCGGAAGGACTTCAAACACTACTTGAAACACAAACGCAAGGAGATGTCCCTTGAAGATCTCATTGTTCGATTGAGAATCGAAGAGGACAACAAAGATGCTGAAAAGAGAGGCCGTGGAACCTCAACAATAATGGAGGCAAACATTGTTGAGGATACTTTTCAAAATAAGAGAAAGAGGAAGCATGCTTCTGGACCAAAAATCAACCCAAGAAAGAAGCGGTTCAACGGAAATTGCTACAACTGTGGAAAAGCCGGGCACAAATCTACAGAGCGTCGCGCTCCGAAGAAAGACAAGAAGAAGGGTCAAGTAAACATGGTTGAAAAGCATGAAGATGTTGATGACTTGTGTGCCATGCTTTCTGAATGCAACCTGGTGGGAAATCCTAAGGAGTGGTGGATTGATTCTGGAGCCACTCGCCATGTTTGTGCTACTAGGGAAGCCTTTGCAACATATGCTCATGTTGGACCCCGAAGAGACTCTTTCTATGGGAAATGTTGCAACCACCAAGATTGAAGGATGTGGGAAGATCTTTCTAAAGATGACTTCTGGCAAGGTGGTGACTTTGAACAATGTCCTACATGTTTCCGAGATGATGAAGAATTCAGTCTCTGCTGGACTTCTTGTTAAGAATGATTTTAAGTGTATTTTTGTTTCTGATAAGGTTGCAATAAGTAAGAACGAAATGTTTGTAGGAAAAGGTTACCTCACTGAGGGCTTTTTCAAGCTGAATGTAATGGTTGTTGAAAATAATAATAAAATTTCAGCTTCGTCTTACTTACTTGAGTCAAAAGAATTATGGCATATATGTTTGGGGTCATGTTAATTATAAAACCTTGCGAAAAATGATTAATTTGGAAGTATTTTCTAAATTTGAATACGACAAATCAAAATGTCAAATATGTGTGGAATCTAAGTATGTTAAACATCCTTATAAGTCAATTGAAAGGAATTCAGATTCTTTAGACTTAATTCACACAGATATTTGCGATATAAAGTCAATACTATCTCGCGGTGAAAAGAAGTATTTCATAACTTTTATAGACGATAGTACTCGATATTGCTATGTTTACTTACTTAATAGTAAGATGAAGCAATAGATGCATTCAAGCAATACAAAAATGAAGTTGAAACGCAACTTAACAAGAAAATCAAAATGATAAGAAGTGTTAGGTGTGGTGAATATGAATCTCCTTTTGAACAAATATGTTTAGAATATGGAATTATTCATCAAACAACGTCCCCTTACACGCCCCAATCCAATGAGATTGCATAAAGAAAGAATCGTTCATTAAAGGATATGATGAACGTATTATTGATAAGTTCTGGTTTGCCACAGAACTTGTGGGAGGAAGCCGTTCTTACGGCTAACCGAATACTAAATTGAGTACCCCATAGCACAACACAATCCATTCCTTATGAAAAATGGAAAGGAAGGTAGCCCAACTTGAATTATTTTAAAGTGTGGGGGTGTTTGGCAAAAGTGCAAGTTCCTAAACCCAAAAGGATAAAAATAGGACCGAAAATCATTGATTGTATTTTCATAGGATATGCGACCAATAGTAAAGCATATCGATTTCTGGTTCATAAATCAGAAAACCCCGACATTTATAATAAAACGATTATAGAATCAGATAATGCTGAGTTCTTTGAAAATATATATATCCGTATAAAAAGGAATGTGAGTCAATTGGTGAAGGATCTAAACGACCCCAGGAAGAACCAAAAAAAAAGTTCATTTAATCAGGAGGATCCAAGACGTAGTAAACGTCAAAGAATGTCTACTTCATTTGGACAAGATTTTGTGACTTTCTTATTGGAGAATGAGCCTCAAACATTTAAAGAAGCTATGTCTTCTTCAGAATCATTGTTTTGGAAAGAGGTATTCAATAGTGAAATAGAATCCATATTGAACAACAATATATGGGAATTGGTTGATCTTCCTCCTGGAAATAAACTGTTGGATTCTAAATGGATCTTTAAGAAGAAAATGAAAGATGATGACACTATTGACAAATATAAGGCAAGCTTATGGTCAAAGGGTATAGACAACGAGAAGGTCTTGACTATTTTGATACATACTCTCCAGTTACAAGAATTACGTCCATACGAACGTTAGTAGCGTTAGCTGCAGTTTATGGTCTTGAAATTCATCAAATGGATGTTAAGACAGCCTTTTTAAATGGAGAGTTGGAGGAAGAAATCTACATGGAACAACCTGAAGGGTTTTGGTTCCAGGTAAAGAAAAGAAAGTATGTAGACTTGTTAAGTCCATTTACGGACTAAACAAGCACCTAAACAATGACATGCGAAATTTGACCAAACAATGTTGTCAAATGGTTTTAAAATAAATGAATGTGATAAATGTGTATATATTAAAAATGTTCCAAATCACATAGTCATTGTTTTCTTATATGTGGATGATATGTTGATAATGAGTAATGACATTGCCAACATAAATGCGACTAAGTGTATGCTAACTGGCAAGTTTAATATAAAAGACTTGGGAGTTACTGATTTAATTCTGGGAATTAAGATCCATAAGACTTCTCAAGGTCTGGAATTGTCACGATCTCATTATATTAAGACAGTACTTGAAAAATTCAAGCACTTGGGCTTTAAAGTTGCAAAGACTCCAATTGACATGAATATTGCATTAGCAAAGAACAAAGGCCAAAACATATCACAATTGGATTATGCTCATGTGTTAGGATGCTTAATATACATCATGAATTGTACATGACCAGATATAGCTTGTGCTATAAGTATATTGCGTCGATATACGAGCAATCCAGGTCAATCTCATTGGATGGAAATGAAACGAGTTTTGGGATATTTAGAACATACCTAGGACTTTGTTTTGCACTACAGTAAATATCCTGCGGTGATTGAGGGATATTGTGATGCAAATGATCATCGGTTCAGCTAATTCGAAGTCCACAAATGGATATGTATTCACTATTGGTAGAGGAGCGGTATCTTGGAAGTCGTCCAAACAAATTTGTATTGTCCGCTCTACAATGGAGGCTGAGTTTAGCCTTAGATAAAGCCGGTGAAGAAGCTGAATGGCTCCGGAATTTTTTGGAAGATATTCCACTTTGGACCAAACCGTTGGCACCAATATGTATACATTGTGATAGTCAAGCAGCAATTGGAAGGGTTGGGAGCGTTATGTATAACAGTAAATCTCGTCATAAACGACGAAGACATAAAACCGTTAGGCAATTACTCTCTAGAGGAATTATCATGATTGACTATGTAAAGTCAAGTGATAATGTGTCGGATCCACTTACAAAAGGCCTAACTAGAGAGGTAGTTAAGAAATTATCAAGGGGAATGGGACTATGGCC